ATTATATTATATATAATTATATATTATATTATATATTATATTATATATAATATTCATTTTAAAATATTAATAAATTTAATGCAAGTCTAAAAAAAATAAGGAAAACGAAAAATTTTATAATTAATAATAAATAATAAATAATAAAAAATATGATAAAAAGAATTAAAAAATAAAAAAAAATATGTTTAAAATATTTTGATTTTTTTGTTCCACTCTATGATAAGAAATAAATATGTAATTTTATAAGAAATTGATTAGATATGGAATCTAAATAAAAATTTTATTATAAATTTTGATAAAAAAATGAATTTTATAATAATTATAAATTATAAAAATAAAAAATTCTGATACATATCATCTTTTTATCACTACTGTATGGAAAAAAAAAATTTATTTCAATGAAAGAATTAATTTAAAACGTATTATAAAGAAATTCCAGCTTTAAATTATCGAGAATTATCGAGAATTATTTAATACTTCATAATTACTTTTTTATCGTAAAATAATATGAACTTTACTCTAGAGAAATAAATTTTTCAAACTAATCCAATTAATTATTTTCCTAAAGCTCCAATGTTGCAATCAATGATGCAATTTCAACTTCAAATTTTTAGCACGATAGTAACATTAATGTAACGATAGTGCTAATAACTTTTAACAATATTATCGCTATTAGATTCTACTTTAATCTCTAAAAAATTTTTATCATAAAAATTATTATAAATGTTGCAAAAAATTTTTTCTAATTTAGTGATATCTATAATTTTATCGGAATTTTCATTGATAAAATAACAAATATAAAAGATTGAAGAAAATAATGGAAAAATATTTGGTATTTATTGGAAATATATATATATTTCATAGATCATAGATTAAAAAAGATAAATATTGTTTCACGATTCTAATCTGCAAAATATTATTTAAAATTATATATGTTTAGATATAGTGAGATTAAAAGATTAATCTTGATCGAAATGCGACTATAAGGTAAAATTGTAATTATTGATTAATTTTATTAATTTTATTAATTTAAACTATTTTAGTTTTTAAATATCGTTAAAATATTATTAATAGATGAAATGAGTTTTTTTTCTTATTATTATTATTACTTATTATTAAAATACTTATTATTATATACTAGTTATTATTAAAAACTTATTATTAAAATATATAAAAACATTATTTGTAATAATGTTCCAATAAAAATAGAAAAAATAAAAAAATTATATTATAATTTAAATCACTTTCTTATTATTGAAATATATCTTATTATTTAAATATATCTTAATAATATTTTAAATATATCAAAAAATCAGTAAAAATATTTAGTTAATTTATAGAAAATTGTTAACAATATCTTTAACAATAATTTTTGAATAAAGAAAATAAAAATTATAGTTATTTTATATAGTTATTTTATTTAGAATTATATTTTGATTTTATCAATATCTTAACATATTATCAATATATTGAATTATCAACAATATAACAATGTTATCGATTGTTATGGATAACATATCGATATATATTATAAAATTGTAGAATTCAAAGTTGTAAATGTTACACAGTTACATCGTTACACTAATAATAATGAACGCAAATAATTACGTAATGAGTTAATTTAAGCATTACGTAAAACGGATTACTTCAATATAAAAAATGTTACATTTAATTACAAATCTCTGCAATAATGTCATTTTAAGCTATCGATTGATTAAATCATGTATGATAAAGCTTATGATGAAGCGACATCATGTATGATATGACTTGGAATAATTTCGAAGTCGAAATCATAATTTATAGCTTTATTATGAAATTATATAGTAAATAAATTGAATAAATTGAATAAATTAAATAAGTTGAAGTAATTGAATAAATTGAATTTGTTTCAACAATAAAAATAAAAAAATATAGAATGCTATTTAAAAAAAATTATTTTCAAATTTTTTTTGCTATTTCATCTATATCAAAATTATTTATATTTTTATAATGCGCTTTTTATAACTTTTATAAACTTTTATAAAAATATTTAAATTTTTAATAACTTCAATTTTTTTTATAATTAAAAAATATTAATTTTTAAATAGTATAAATGATCAAAAATTTTAATTTTAATATACATAATAAATCACATGGATTATAAACAATCTATGTACTATTATTATTAATAATTATCTGATTCAACAATCGCTAATATTTGAAAATTTATCAATATTAATTTTTCAAACAAAAGAAAAACAGTTAAGTCTAAATTCTTTCATTCATTTTTCAACAAGTCAATGATCTAAGTTATAAATATAGACTCGACATAAGTCTTCGCACGAATAAAATAATTTGTAAACGCACTTCACTTACCCCTTCTCAATTTCAGGGTGACGGGATCCGATGAGAGCCGCAAACATTTCAACACTGGAACACAAAATGATGGAATACCATTAGAAAAGATATCATATCAAACAAAAGATTGAAAAAATAAAAAGAGAAAAAAAAGAAAAAGTAAAATGAAAAGTTCAGTTAGAATCATAGTCATAGATCGAGCTATTGTATGTTCCTCGCGTATTTGCAAGCGGAATTTAAGGACGTTCTCCGTTTTGTTGTTTTTGAAAAAGCTTTACTCTCGTGTTTGGATTAACGAGAGAAGGATGAAATGCTTCCTAGCGAAAAAGATGGGTCGCAATTTCAGGGTAAGATTAAATCGTTTCGTGCGAAACTTGGTTTTAAGCCGAACAAAATGGAAAATTTAACTTGATGCGTTAATAGGACATTGTGAGGAGATGAATTTGGGATGAGAGAGATGGGAAGAATATGTGTTTAGTGAGATTAAGATGCTAGACGGGATGGTTTAATTAAACGTTCTGTTTATCTGGAACCTTTCCTTAGAAATATATTTGATTACTAAAAATTGTTAAAATGCTAGAGATTTTTATGAGGATATTGCAAATATATAATATGCAAAAATATTCATATTTTATATAAATTCAACTAATAAATAATATTGTTTTTTATTTTTAATTGTTTTAATTGTTTTGTTTGTTTTGTTGAAACAAATTCAATTAATTATTTATTGTTTATTTTTCTTAAACTGTATTTTATTAAAAATAAATTCTGTTTTATGTACGAATGTAAATCATAATAGGTTATATGAATTAATTCTTTTATTATACTTGAAGAAGATGAAATCATTCCTTAAAATCTCAATATTATTATTATTATTATTTTTTAAATATAACTTTATACAAAAGTAGAAAAAAACTAAAATCATAATAAGTTGTAAAATACTTAAATTTTAATGCTTTATTATTATAAAAAATATTTGAAATCAGAATCAGAAATTGTATTCAAATACGAAAAAATGATAAAAATTTGAGAGTTAATTTCATATTCTTCAAAGAGATTTTCTATCGAAAAATAAATTTTTTTTTTATATATAATCCATTATAATATATATATATATATATATATATATATCAATTTTCATTAAAATCAGATTTTTTAAGATAAGTATATTTTCTTGTAAGATAACATGAAAATTTTTATGATTGTAGCTATTTTTATTTTTTTATGATTG